GTCACATTACTTCAAGTCAGGCCAACATGTGACCTAAGCCCTCAGGGCTCGCACCGTTTCTGGCATTTCGATTCTTAATGACCTACAACCGCATCCCGGTCAAGGTCGATCTTCTTGGCGCGGAGAATACCCTGGATATAATGTGACACACAGGTCCAATTGTCCTCACCCTCCGTCATAATCGGTATGACCGTGTCCACCGACAGCAGTCCTATTAATTGTTGAGCCTCCAGGCGGGGCCTTTCCCAGCGCTGGCAGTGGAAAAATGTATGTTCCACGTCATCGAGAATGCCTGGGCAGTATATGCAGTCGGGTGACACGGCTTTGCCCATCCTGAACAGGTACGACCGGAAAAAGCCGTGTCCCGTCAGAAATTGGGTGAGGTAGAAGTCCACCTCTCCGTACCGCCGATCAACCCAAGGTTTGGATTTGCTGTATCAGTCGCCTGGTCCAGAGTCCCCGTGTCTCCTGTTCCCAGCCCTCCTGCCACAGCTGGTAGGTGCGGGTGCGTTCCTCTGTTCGTGCCTCGTCCTCCCCACGGCGCCGGTAAATTGCCTTTCTCTCCGCCGCCAAAAGTTTGACGGGGATGACTCCAGCAATCACCAGGATGGCGGGCTCGGACACTGTTCGGTAGGCAGATGCTACCCTCAGTGCTGCCTGACGCTGCACTCGGGCGAGCCGCATCCTGTATGCCTCCTTATTTAGTGCGTCTGTCCACACCTCCGCACCGTACAAGAGTACGGACTGGACCGAAGACATTAATAGCCTTCTACGACTGGACCGAGGCCCTCCGACATTGGCCATCAACCGGCTAAGAGAAGAAACCACCCTAGCGGCCTTGTCCGCTGTACGGAAGATCTGATCCCGCCAGCTAAGCTTGCTGTCTACCATACCCCAAGATACTTGGCAGAACGAACAGTTTGAACCTCGACGGCTCCCACCCTCAACGGCACGATGGTGTCAATCCGTTTTTTTGTCAAAATCACGATCTCGGTTTTGCTCAGAGCAAGCGAGAGACCGTGGTCTGCCATCCATGCGTTTATGGTACGCATAACTCGATTTAGCTTTAGCTGAGCCAGCTCAACGCTACGTGCAGCTATCAAAGCTGCAACGTCGTCTGCGTACCCAACCAAGACTGTTTCCTCAGGCATTTCAGACCTCAGAAGGCTGTCATAAGCGACGTTCCAGAGGTCTGGGCCGAGTATGGAACCTTGGGCAGCACCAGAAGTGACACTCATCGTCCGCGGGCCCTCCGCAGTGTCATACGTTAGGAGGCGAAACCGGAGATAATCCTCTATGATGCGCATGAGGTATGCCGGCACGTGGAAGGTGTTCTCCAGAGCATCCAGCATATCGAACCACCTCGCCGAATTAAATGCATTTCGCACATCGAGCGTTACGAGCAGCACAACCCTGCGAGAGTAGTGGGTAAAATCCTCAGTTCTCATCACGGCTTGCTTCACCTCCTCAATCGCATCAATCGTTGATCGCCCCATCCTGAATCCATACTGACGAGGGGAGAGGTCCCCCGCAGCGACAACGGCTTAATTTAGCCGGGAACGGATCAATTTCTCGAGGACTTTGCCAGCCGTATCCAACATACACAGAGGTCTGTAAGAGGATGGCAGATCTGGGTCTCCCTTGCCCTTCCCAACAAGCACAAGCCTAGCTGTCTTCCAGCACAAGGGGAAAACCCCTTCAACCAGGCAGGCGTTGTACATGCTCAAAAGGATCAAGGGGTTGGTAGTCAAAACCTTCTTGAGGACTTCACCGGGCACCCCATCGGGACCAGGAGCCTTGTTGTTCTTCAGGGATATGACGGCCGCCACCAGCTCTTCAGGGCTGAAAAGTGGGACGTCGTCCACCCTTCCATAATCCCGCAGTGGGCGCAACGCGTGAGCCGGGAAAAGGGACTCGACTATCCTCTCCATAGTGAACCTGTCCATGACGGAAGGTGGAGAGCGGGTTCCAAGTTTCTTGGTTACAAGTTTGTAACCCAGGCCCCACGGGTTGGAATCAACATCGTCCCTTAATTTATCCCAGCAACTGCGTTTACTCCGATTGATGGCTCGACGAAGATACCTCCTAGCCACCCTATAAGCATCCGACTTACGCCGTCTGTCTAGGGGTTCTCTAGCCCTGGTAGCAAGTCTTCTGGCCCTCAATGCCGCTCGACGCAATTCCGCTATCTCGGCAGTCCACCAGCTGGCTCTGTAGTAGCATTGACTATTGTTGTTGTATTAATAGTCAAAGGTAGTAGGTTAAAAACGAATTTTAATCATGCAAAACGCGTCAAGACAGCAACCTCAACTTGCCAATTTTGATAAGAGAGAAATTTTTGTTATATGAGGACGATATAACACACGTCACAACGTTGTTCACATTGTTATAATGTGCAGATATTACAGAGGAAAAAACCACTACCGAATCAAGAATTACTACACCATAATCAATGATACTCCAACCTCTACAATCGTCACTAATTAAATGAAAATACGAGAAAGTTTAACCAATGTTGTAATGGTGAGTGAGAACTGTCTTATGTTATAAACTGTTTCGACAAAAAAGTAGTGCCTTAACCCTGTGACATCACCAATGGTAATAGAGGTCATGTTATTCACGCGGGACGGAGCAGGGAAAGAGGCGATGTTTACATTATGCACGACGGACGAGGTTTTAAAGGCCATACCTCCTAAAAAGGTCTTTTCATTGTTGCCGTGATAACGCTTAACGTTACCTTTATTCTTTTATCCCCCCAAGCTTTACATTCTGAAATGTGCATTTCGATACAGGTGTAATTTGGCTGTTTGTTAATAAATATTCAGTATAGTTTACTTTTTTCCGGTAGCCTAAGGTGTCAAAGGTTTCTTGCAGTACGCCTTTATTTGACACCTTAGTCTACCGAAAAAAGGTAAAATATACTGAATAATTGACAGGTGTCTATGCTTTGGTAACAAATAATACATATTATAGTTGATTTCCCCCATTTGTGCTATAGTTTGCAGTATAATGGAAATAAAACGTTGTTTTATGTGATAATAGTTGGGTGGTGTATAAGCATCTTTTAACACTATTATACATATATATTATACATACACTTTTACAAGATAAATGAATATACATAAAATATTATACATTGGCCAGTAATTTCGTCCTGTTACAACTGTAATCAGAATCGACCAAACTAGAACTAGAAGTTTTGAAATGTCACTAACTGTACTACTAGTAGTGTCCAAAACTGTCACGGGGATATCAGCATTGAACATTTAAACCACTCAAATAGACAGGATGACAATGTTGATGGCTGTGTATGATTGGTTCCAAACACAGGTTTTGAACACTCATTTATATGTTACTTACAGCTTACAGTCACCTTAAAACCGATTCCATATAAATAATTCCAAAAATATTTGGTACTGGTATATTTAACCATTTAACGTTTCGTAATTGTGTATCAGTTTGTATAATAATTGACTTTCCATTCTGAAAATACACAACTCATCTTATGAGAAAATTGTAAGCTCGTTTTCAACTGTAAACATTTTGTGTTCTTAGAATTATTAGTGATCGGATAGTTTTTCGCTCCTTTTATATTTACGGTATTTCTAATGTGATGAATACTTGCATTGAACTTTGAGAGTTTATAAGCTGTACCTAGCTGCTAAGAAAGCTGTATAAGCAGTGTTTATTAATGATCTAAATGTGTTGTTTTGTTAAAAAAATTATAAATATCATGGATAAAGGACACATGGCCGAATAAATTTCATTCGGATCTCCCCAGACCCTAAGTAAAAGATTTTCAACTAAAACTTCTTTGCACACTTTTTTAAGTACCTTGCTTTCCCTTCAGTTTTTTAGAGTTTTAATCATTGATCAGACTCGTCTACCCTAAACCATTCCGACATCATAATGTTGACTATTGTACCCGCATAGTTAGACAGCTGATTTGGTTGTTCAATGCATGTATATGCAGTGACGTCACTCCCAATCATAGCTGCATGCATGATGCAACATGAATGATTGTCCCGGTGATTTGAGATTGGAGCCGTGACTAAATTACATTGTTTGACTATAGCTTCGAACTTTAGCGAGGTGGCGGTATAACGATAACTGTGCTATTTTAGGAAATTAATAAACAGCTGATAACTGGATTCCTATTAGTATTTCAATGATAAACTTTTTGTTATGAGATTTTTAAACAGATGTGAATGACTATAAGTTTAAAATCCACACAATTGCCTTTATCTAGAAGGCTTAACTGGCTTAATCAATACAATTACCATTGGGAGAAGGCCAAATCTGTTATACCTATACACATAATCTATACTTATCTATACAATCGGCTTATAGTTCTTGGGTTTTAGTGCCGCTAATGTACATTTTTCAAATCTCTCTTAGGTTTGTATAGATAAAAGAAAGGAAACAGTAGATAGCCAGAATAAATGCCTGTCTTTAAAGTAATGGACAGCTTGGAATAAAATTGTTGGTACAAATGCAGTACAATAGTAAAATAAAATTTATACACGCTTGATAGAACACCCATTTTATTAACTATTCGTTTTAATTTCAATTATGAATTCAAGATGAAGGTAGAATGGTGTGAGATGATTTTTTTAGCTTTGTTACTGACTAACATCATCAGGTGTTCCTTTAGCCAGGATCATTTGAAAGCCAAACGATGAAGTAAAGCTGGGTCCTGAACCCATTGGTTTTCGAATCGGTTTCAAACCATAGAAAGTTTACTGACTTCACAGCATCGAACCGGCGACCTGCTGGACGAGAGCTAAAGCTACCCAGCTACATAGTTAAATAAATGAACAATATGTCTCATGGATGTACCGATGTATCCCTGTGCTAGCTCAATATTTTATTTTTTCATTGTTCTGTTACAGTTGTTACACCATTAAAAGCAAACCATATACCGTACAATGTATTGTAGTTTGTATAACCGTACTCAAAGAGAAGTATTATACAATTCATAACTTTTTCATTTGTTACAGGGATTATCAAGATGTAACATCGAACTCAACAATTAACCCACGTGGACCATATTTTTACAGGTAAAACATAAACTTTATCCTTTATAGGATTATTCAATTTGTTATGAGGTATAAACATTGTCAAATTGTTGATTTTAATCTTTTGGTTAAATTTTTTTTTTTTTAAGAGGACAAAGACCACGAGTTTGATTGTATGGCGAGCACGAACTTGTCAACTTTTACATATTCCGTATAATTTTAAAAAATTCTTAAAGTTATTGAAACAGGTCAAAAGAGTATGCACTGAATATACTCATAGTCGGCCATCCAAGTAGCAATGGTTGTTTCCACACGCTACCAACTGGTTGGCTAAGGTTTCCAGTAGGTTATCGAAAATGTTAATCCTTTCACGATCCTCCCTCAAATTGTGTACAGTATTTTTTCTAGTTCTTACTCCTTTTAGCGAATTTCCCTATAGGGAAGTAGCTATTACCGTAGGTCTCATGGTAAGACTTAGGCCCGGGACCGATTTACTTTTTCATTTTGATGTCCCCAGAGGCCAAAAACACCATTCGTTCAAATTTGTATATATGTATATATATATATATGTATATATATATGTCCGTGAACACGATAACTTGAGTAATTTTTATCCGATTTTGATGAGATTTGGTTTGAATGTGTAAGGCGGGATAAACTTGAATGAGTTCGCGATCCAGCATGATCGGACCATGGGAACAGGGTTTTATGGGGCAAAAATTGGTTTTTCTCACTTTTGACCCTCAAAACACAAAATTTCCCAATTTTTCTCTAAACCTTCTTAAAGAGCTTAAAAAACAAACAATTCAGTATATCAAAGTGTTTTTGTACGATTATTGGTTACGGAGAAAACTAAAAAAAATGGTAAATTTAAAATTCCTATGTTATTCTTATGGAGAATATTGTAAAATGTTGTAGATTGCTTGTTTATGGATATCTTTTGATCAAACTTGGCAAATATCTTCATTTTATACTAAGCAATAATTATTTTACTTAAAACACACACTTTATTAGTTTCCTTGTAGCAGCAAACCTAGGTACTCGTTAAACCTAATGTTATTCAAATAGATCAATTGAAAATCAATTCAGCCAAATGGAAATTCGCTTAAACGGCAGGCTTGCTGCGGCGGGGGTATTATCTATTTTTTTTACCCAGCCATATGGTTGAATCACGGTCCTACCAGTAGCTTGGAACCGTTTGGAACAGATTTTCGCCTAGTTAACAGTAACACCACAGACTAAAGAGCACCTATAAAAATAAACGATAAGAGGTACTCTACTCCCCTCATCTGTGGTTATACAAGTATTTTTCCATGGGAAATGTTCCAATTTCTGACCTGCGCAGTTTATTTTATTTCCTTAAACATGATCACTGATTTGTGATGATGGTGCACGCTTGTGTATGTTGACCGCTGAAGGGCGATCGAATCGAGCAAATTATGGCTTTTATTTGCAACGTTTCCGGTCGAACTATGTGCGTGATGGGTTATCTGTTATCTACACGAATGTGATAACGATCTCTGGTTATAAATATGACCTGAACGTTGGCCAGTTCAGTTTGTCACCGTTGTCCTAGGGAGCTCTCTAGTGGTATGTTTGTTTTTGAATATATTTTAAATAATTATCGGTGTGACAGAGTTAATTAATCAAGCATTATCCAGAGTTGAGTATTGTTTTGTAGCTAGCTATTTAATTACAAAATATGTTAATTACAAAATGGTTTGGAAATAAATTGTAAAATTTTGTGTTTTTAGGATCAAAAATGGAAAACCCTATTTTTACCCCATAAAACCCCCCATAAACCCCCGTTCCCATAGTCTGATCATGCTGGTTCGTAAAATCGTTCGAATAAATGTAGGTTTACTAAATTTCATCAAAATTGGTTCATTTTTGCCCGAGTTATTGTGCTAACAGACATATCATCATAGGAACTTTAAAATGATTTGCTTTTGACATATATCGTACAGCAAATCTGATTAAAGTGTAATAGAATAATGGTGGAAAAGACTTAAGAGTTGCATTAATTTTCTAAAACTACTTTTATGTTCATTAAATATATCGCTAGTTTTATAGGTTTTATAATAAACAATCACCTTAAAACACAATTCACATACAAAGTATTTTCAAAGTCGCATGGAAATAAATCAATACATACTCATTGGAAAAGAATAAAAATTTAGTTTGCATATAAGTTTTTAATTTACCAAACAAATTAAATTGAATTTTCTTTTAGTTATCTTGTGAAATAGACACAACTAAGCTCTTAGGAGTCCAAACCAGGTTAAGTAAGTGTCAGTCGGGCGACCCAATCCATTTGTCTAATTACATTAACTCTCAACTAACTTGACAAAGTGGTTAGCTGATTAAAATTGCAATCCTTACTTTGTTTTACTACCGGAGGTTTAATTAATAGTACCAAATTGTTCATGGTAGCCATTAATTAGAGTGCTCGCCTCAAAATCTTAAGGTCGTCGGTTCGATTCCTGAAGGATCGATTCTTGTCCTAGATATAATTTGACATTGGGATATTTAAAGATGCTATCTAACAAAAAGTTGGAGATAATAGTACAGTAGTACTGTATGTACACAACAATTGGAAATGTGTCAAAGTTTTGTTTGGTAGCCTAATTATTTATTTTTATGGTGCTCTATTGTACCTAGGTATGTATAAAAAAATATTTTATTTTCGTCATTTTAAACTATTCCATTTTTGGAAACCCCTATAACTTCTTAACAAAGTAGTCATAAGGCCAGAAACATAAGTGTGGGGTTTTTTATTTGTTTATCTCTCTCACCTTCTGAAGTGTTTTTTTTTTTTTTACCAAATATCCCAACCCTTTTGTTCGTTTAAATTCAAAATTTAATTTTCTCTTGCCGAACGATTTTTCTACATTGTTAAGTACGAACTTATCTTCACTTTTGGAAAAGGTTTTATGGCCAGACATAACTTGATGCGTCGACTGTCAAAATCGCCTGACTAGAAGATAATCATGTACTTTATTGGAACAGTAAGTTAAAATCATCCAGACTTTTAAGTAAGCAGCAAAAGTCGATGCAATTATTTTGTTAAAAATCAATATTTACGAGTAAACTACTTTAATATCAAATACATACAGCTTGGATGATCCTTTAGTAGCCCAATGTACATTGACATTTAAACAATCTGAAAACAGTGACAAAATAGTTTTTTACAAACCCAAAACAAAGAGAGTTTTCCTGTGTTATATACGAAGAAACAAACGTATCTAAGCTTAGAAGAAAAATTTGAATTCATCAATTATTTCCCCCCAAAACGTGTAAGTAAAGCGCATTGTTTACATTTTAACAAGACGAAACTTCTTAAAACGACTTTTGAGAAATGTATAGCTATGAAATTAACACTTTCCAATAGTACAAACGAGAATAAGGGCTATGGATTACCCAAGGTGTGTAAAGTGTTTGTTTGTTTATTGTTTAAGTATGTGCTATTTTTGCAGCTTTAAAATAACTGTCTATATGGCTTAACGGAAGTTAGAAATCGGTGTACACCCTGAACGTAGGCCTAGGCTATGATTATTTCATTTAGTTAGAACATATCCAGATGTTTTGTCTGCTTAGTGACGTTTAGTAATCAGCTGAGTCACGAATGTCCAATAGCAATCACTGAAAGTTAAGTATTTGTCGTGAGTTGTAAAACCGCTCTGCCATGATTACCTTCCGCTCGTAAACCGGCTAAATATACCATCTCATTGCACGAAGAAATGCACCGGAGCCACGAAACAAATGCTATTTGACAAACATTATTGGCAATTTTTAACGGATTTCAGCTCAGTTATTTGTGAAAACTTACTTGCTATTATTTATTGATATCTAGGTATTAAATTTTACGGTGAGATATCATAGACAAATAGAATTAAATATAGACCAACAGCAGTGCTGCGGTTAGCATGTCAATCGCTGCAAGTTGTGATGTCTATCGCTAGGAGTGCCGTGTAGTTACGTAGCGCGTTCACCGTACGGCGCTCCCAACATTATTGGTGGACGCCAGAACAAATGCTAACCGCAACACTGCTGTCGGTCTATAATTCTTTTTATCTCTGGAGATAGTTTCAGTTTTATTTGTTAGTGCAGGATGAGATAAGACTGGTTTGACTGGGCAGCCGAGTGGTTTTTATGCTTGCCTTCTAGTCTGAAGTTTGCTGGTTGGATTCCGAGTGGGGGTTGATTCTGTACCCAAATACCATTTTCCGTTGGACATGAGTCTTGGTCGCCGGAGTATTCCATGGTGAGACAACTGCGCTGATGCAGAAGATGGTAGGTTAAAACGGTTCAATATTACAGACTCCTTTTATATTTGGAATAAAGCAAAGCTTTTGTGACGGTATATTGACAGGGTTTAGTGGGTGTAGCCAAAATCGCTCCCCAGCTGATTTGTAATTGGTCTGGGAATTTTTGGGGCCGTCACACAACTAATATATTCTTTGGAACAGTTAACAACAGTCTATGTACTGTACAAATAGTATTATCGTAGAATTTGAAGCCTGTTTTGATGAGGGTTTCACGTTGGCTTCGTTTGAATACATGGACTGGTTTCTCTCTCATTTTAAAGTATTTTTTAAAATTTGTTATCTAATTCAATACTAGCAGACAAGATATCCTATGGTAAACATATACATTGCCATACTCATGTAGTTTTTGCAATAGAAAACGTCATAATCCCCTTTACATGAACCATTCAGGAACATGATTTGAAATTATCCGCAGCTGGTCCATCTCTGAAAGTTCGGATTGAAATATTACCATTCACAAATTGACCACTAAAATATGCTAATTTCGCTACTCAGATAAAATTTAAGATTGTTATAACTGAACGGAGCGAAGCGAAGCTCTTTGGGATCTTCTTCAATGCAAACTTTCTAATACTATCAATAACGGCTGAACATATTTTAGCCAAACTTACCAAGGTTGTTTCGACAGTTGTTCGGATGGTTTGAGAAGAACCAATTTCAATTTTTGATAATACCTAAATAATTTAGAAGTAACTTAAAGTTTTTGATTTTTAC